CTTCCGATCTCCCCAAAACCCCAAAACCCCAAGGCACATTGATTGTGGTTAAATTCGAATATTAAAAGTTAAAAATGAATTAAAGTAAAAAATCATTCAAATCAATGAAGTAATAACTCAATGTTAACGATAAATTTTATTTAGTTTGAAGACAAATGGGGGATCCACTTCAATAAAAAGCGTTGAAATTGCTGTGTCTACGAAAGCAAAAAATTATAATGAAATCAGCGAAGACACTATGGGAATAGAAGATTATGATCCTAACAACTCAATTAGAAATTAGGGTACCTAAGGGGATTAAATGAAATTTGATTAAGAACCTGAACCTCATATTTATTAAAAATTTGACCCGAATTCGACCTAAACAAGAGCACTTTTAAGTGTGGATTAATCTAGACTCGAGATTTATTTATAAAGACTTTACCAATCGAGCCGCTGTCAGTTTTTCTATTTGTTTCTGATGATATTTTCAGTTCTTTTGGTCGTGTTTACTCTATGGCGTGGCTTCACTATAGATTAAAATCCTATTTTTATCCTGTCAGAGATCCTGCTTAATGTCATGATTCTAGTAGATTTTACCTTCAGGGTAAAATTACTAGGCTTTAAGAGATTTTTTTCTGGTGGTATTTTGAATATTCTTGATGCTCTAGTTGTGAGTAGTTGCATAGTTCTATTTTTCATTATTCTCGTTTCTAAAGCGAGTAGTATGGTCCTTTTCGAAGAACTAAGTGAGGAATTACTATTAATAGTTTGGTCTGTTTTCCAAATCTTAAGAATGATATTCATTGCCAAGAAGCAAAACTAAGCGATCTAAAATGCTAGAACTCTAATTGATTTTTCTCACGTGCTAGAAAGTGAAGGTGGAGGATAGGGTTATGACGGGTAAAGAAATATGGATTACCTAGAAAAAGGGGGGTAACCTGACGAGGTTATAGTTTTTGATATGAAGAATATGGAATAAAGACACAAGCAACCTGTTTTAGTTCATGGCCAATCAGGTATATCTAGTTCATCAAGGAAAAAGGCTCTGCATTCTATCAAATAAAGTAGGACTTCAATTATTCATGACTCAATGAGGATGAAACAGAACAGCCACTACACTTTTAATGCAGGGGATGTAGAACTGAAAAACATGGGTAAAAGTTACCAAAGCTAAGGACTGGGGGGTTATGAAGAAGAGGACAGTGCTGATATGGCTACTGATAGAGGTCATTAAGTGTGAATTTATTCTAATGATATTTTAAGAATAATTTAAGATCATTAAATTCTCAAATCTGCTGATATCCTTCAAAAAGTAAATTTTTCCATTATAATATATCCTGTTCTGATGCCTTCTTAATTAAAATACGATCGATTTATATTCATGGGGTTTTGGGGTTTTGGGGTTTTGGGGAGATCGGAAGAGCACACGT